AATAAACAACCAATCACGGGCGAAGCTGTGCCGGGTCGGCTAGTATTATATAAACGTACCTATATTCTATTTTTTTTCCTTTTTGGATCGTTAGGTATATATTGAACGGTTTTTTGTAATATATGCAAAAAAAATTAGGACATGCACTAACGTCAGAATATTTAAAAATATTCATTATAAAACTTTGATATTTAATCAATCAAGTAATGATTTGTGGACACACATCGATTGCATGCATACGTTGAAAATAGCAACACGAGTTTTATTTAAAATACGATCTTTAATTTTTACAATGGTAGTTAAAAAATATTTAAAATTTATAATTACAATTTATTTTCAAGCATTTAAAGTTCGAATTTTGATTTAATACATAAAAATGACGATAGTCTATAACAACTTAAGTATTGTGGTAGATTTCTATAATTTTTGCTGAAAATATTGCATTTATTTTATAATGAATATTTCAATACCAATGCATAAAAAGTACTCGGGCTTTTTAATAAAATTTCTATTAATTTTTCAATTTTGGCGATTCAAGTTATTATAACATGTCTATAATCTAATACATTTTTAATACAATTCATTTAGTAACGTTAGATCAATTTAATTAATTCATTCATTTAACTTTGTTTAAAATTATTTACATCTTTAGCCTTACTGATATTTTTTGCAAGACTTTAATTACTGGATATAAATAATACAAATATTTAGGTATACAAGTTTAAAACAAAAAACAAATGCCTGACCTCAACAATACGTGTCATTTCAACACACGCATACGAAAGGCTCGATATATGAAATTATTATTTTAAAAAACTAAACATTCCGTTAAACAATAATTTCTATAAATATTGTTTGATTTGATTTGTTTTTGGTAAATACTCCTGTAAATAATATACTTGTATAATTGTGGATATTTAAAACTAAATATATACTATTTTCTTCTCTAAAAATACGTATTTCCTTGTGAAAACCAACCTTGTGACTCGAAATAAAATAGTAGCTGTATAAATTGTATAAATTGTATAAAAAAATATAATGTGTAATATATGAGTGATATAAATTAATGCAAAAACGTGATTTAAATAGAATAAACATAGATTTTTTAATACATCAAAATCGAAATTCGGTATATAAAAATCGCTGTTCATTGAGCTACTTTGAGGTGCACAGCTCAAAAAAATATCAGTGAGTAGGTAACAGTATAATTTATATAAGATCAATACAGCGAATCAAGTAATTATAATATGTTAATAATATAATACATTTTTAATACAATTTGCCCAAAAAGGTTTTTAAAGGGAGTAGATGATACAAATTATCTAATAGCTATAAGCAATGAAAGGGTAAAATTAAATTTGAAATAATTATAACTTCCATATATCTAATATTAAAAAAAAAATCAAAATTATTCTTAAGTATTTAATTACTTAAAATCAGCCAACGTATAGTTGGTGAGATTGCTAAACATGATAGGCCAAAATTGGGGACTGCATGAACTTGGCCCCTCGACTTTTGTGTTTAGATTTTCTGGTGGTTTACAAATTCACAAATTTAATTAATAATTATTTACAAATAATTTATAATTGATTGCAATTTGTCAAAATTCGATCGGTCAAAGTCGGCGAATGCGTGAAATTGGCCAACCGATTTTTGTTTATCGATTTACAAGTTATCTAATAAATTACAAATTTGAGAATTGGATTTACAATTATTTTCAATTTGTTCCAGTGGCGGCTCGTGTGTATGTGCACAAGTGCACGTGCACTACCTACCCAAACTTAAGAAAAATTGAAAACATACATCATAATTACACAACTAAGTACCTGTAATGTGATAAGGATTATTTTCAAAATATAAAAATATAAATTCAGAATATTATGAAAATAATAATATTATAATATTATATTTAATATTTGGATTGGGTTATTTTGACTGCTAAACGGCCGTTTGGCTGTCCGCGACGGAACGGTATCGGCGTGTATTATAATAGTGCAGTTGTGCATAAAATCGTTGTGCACATTTGTACAGTGTAAAAATTAAAGCAAGTCAATACACGTAGCCCGCGTTGTAATGGAATTGGTGTGCACATTTGTTTGTGTGCACATAACCAATTAAATTGTTTTCAAGGAATTATTTTCTATGTCGCCGCGTCGTTATCGGCATTATTATGTTATTATAGTTTATTTTTACACATTCATTTATTATATTCCGATTATCAGATGATCATATTAGCTAATCGATCATTATCGGAAATTCAAAACATTAATCGTGACAATAATGTTTCTATTTTTTTTATTGACGACCGACATTAACGTATATTAATATATTATTATTTATTATTCGTGTATTTGTTTTCAATTTTTAAAATGAACTCAGTGCAGCAAATACTGCAATGTAATTTTTCATCAATCTTGTTGGAGAAAAAGATTGAAATAAAAAATACAGGTAGGCCTACTTCAGATTTAAATATTAAACAAATAACTAAATGTAAAACGAGAGATTATGTAAGACAATTTAAAAATGATATATATAAAACCAATGACTGGATTTGTGGTTATTCAGAAACAAATCGTTTGTATTGTTTTCCCTGTTTACTTTTTGGTCAAAAATCTAATAATGCCGCTTGGTAAAGAATGGAATAAACGATTTAATTCATTTAAATTCTAAAATCAAAACACACGAAAAATCAATGATACACATAAGTTCTCAATTAAATTTAAAACTATTAGGAAAATAAGACATAAGACAACAACTTTCTAGTGCGTATCTGTTGAATATCAAACAATACAATGAAAAAATAAGTCATAATCGTTATATATTGAATAAAATCATAAATTGTATTAAATTTTGTGGAGCATTTGAGCTTGCATTCCGAGGTCACGATGAAAAATCAAATTCAGAAAATCCTGGCGTATTTCGAGGTCTTATAAGCTTTAGTTCAGAGTTAGATTCGGTACTAAAATGTCATATTGAGAACTCTTCGGTATTTAAAGGTTTATCCAAATCAATCCAAAATGATTTACTAAAATTTTGTTTAGCTGTATGTCAACAAAGAATTAAAAATGAAATAAAACAAGCAGAATATATTTCTGTAATGGCTGACGAAACAACTGATGTATCTGCTGAGTTTCAATTGTCAATAATATTTAGATATTTACTATCGGATGGAACACCAGTAGAAAGACTTTGGGGATTTTTCAATCCTACTGGACACGATGCGAAATTGTTGTCTGAATGTATAATATTCAATTTGGAAAAAGTCCTAGAGTCACCAGATATGTTGATTTGTCAGAGTTACGACGGCGCAAATGTGATGAGTGGACGTCTCAATGGTGTACAAAAAATAATAAACAATAGCTATAAAAATGCACATTTCATACATTGCTATGCTCATCAGCTTAATTTAATTTTAATTCAGGCAACTTCACAAAATCGTGATATAAGAATTTTTTTTTCAACAGTCCGCAGCGGGTTACGGTTTTAGATAAAATTGTTAAACACAGAGTTCCTCGATCATCTAATATTAGATGGAATTTTAAAAGTCGAATAGTAAATACTGTGTATGAGAATCTTGAGTCGTTAATTGAATGTATGAAAGAAATTTGAATCAACATTTAATCAAACCATAACAATTAATCAAGCTGGAGCTTTGCATCGGTTGTTAATTAATGATATATTTATATTTTGGTTAAGGGTGTTTCATTCTTTAATGCTCCATGTTGATATTCTATATAATCAGCTACAAAACAAACTATGGATCCTGTAAAACTTTCAAAGGCAATTTTTCGGTTCGAAGAAAATATATTAAAAGAAAGACAGAATATCGATAACATCTTTGATAACTCTCAAAATCAACTAACGAAAAAACGAAGACATGATAATACTATTGAAACAAGAAAAATCGCTGCAAAAGAAGTATGTGACATTTTTATTGTCAACGTTAAAGAACGGTTTGATTATAAAAATCACTTAAATGCTTCGCACCTATTTTTTTCTACCAAATTTCCTATATACGAAAATAACTTCCCAAGTGACCATTTTAAGAAAATTATTGAAGCATATCCTTTTTTGGATGTTACTAAACTTAAAACTGAACTACAACTGTTCTACAAAAGAACCGATTTCCGTGATATAAATTCATCAGTTCATTTATTGAAATTAATAATTGAAAATAATTTAACACTAATATTTCTGAAAGCTACAAACTTTTAAAAATAATTTCAACTATTCCAATGACTACAGCTGAAGCCGAAAGATCGTTTTCTACATTGAAACGTATTAAAACATTTTTGAAAAATTCAATGACAAAAGATCGACTTACAGCACTAGCAATGTTATCGATCGAAAAACGGATGATCAACGACATTCCAAACTTCAATGAAGAAGTAATCAACAGATTTGCAGAAAAAAAAGAAAGGAGAATCGATTTAACATATAAACATGTACCTGAAATATAATAATTTGTATCTATTTTGTCATAGTATTTTTACTTGAAAATTTATTATTATTATTATTATGTATTTATTGTTATTATACTTGTAAAAATAGGTATAAGCAAAAGAAAAAGTAATTATATATATATATATATATATACAGTGAAACCTCCCTTAACGGACACCTCTAAATAGCGGACGTTTTTTCGGGGACGGGAACATTTTCACTATTTATGTATAGGAAAACCTCTAAATACAGGACACTCTAAATAACGGACACTTTTATGACGTTGATATTAGTTATTTTTATCTTAAATTAAGAATTATTTTGGAATACCTGAATAAAAACCTGAATTATTAAGTCATCTTATGTGTACATTATTATACTGTATATAAAAATCTTATCTTATCCGTTCAGTCATTGAAATATTATCGCGTCAACGAAGTATTATAACTATAATGCATTGTCCTATCTCCTATGTACGTTTAGTTGTGTTTGTGATGCCAACGTTTATTGTAGTGCGAATTTATTATACGTATTGTTTATACGAACTTTATTGCGCTATGGCTAGCAAAAGAAAACGATTAACTTTAAAAGAAAAAATAGACATTCTGGAATTTCGAACATCAAATACAATGGGCGTTCGTGCATTAGCAGACAAATTTAGTGTTAGTAAAACACAAATTGCTGATATTATAGCAAATAAAGACGCTCTTTACAAAATTTGGGCTGAAAATGGAGAAGAGAAACGGAAATGGACAAAGCTACAAAAAACAGAAACCTCTATAATCGACAATGAAGTATTAAACTGGTTTTCAAAATTACGAGAAAAAAATCTTCCTGTTTCAGGACCGATGCTTCAAGAAAAAAGTAAGCAAATCGCTGAAATGCACGGATTTGATTTTAAAGGCTCTAATGCAGTGGTTTTCAAACTTTTTTTATACACGGCACACCGTACACTTCAAAAAATTTTCACGGCACACTGACATTTTTTTAGATGAACAAAATTGTTTTGAATTAATTATAATTTTATATACATTTAATTAGAAATTTTTATTATTTATTTATTAATATTACAATTACAGTATAATATAAATATATATCAAATCCATAGAGATTGAAAGCATTTATTTTCTTATATCGCAATTCAATGCAATCGGTAATTTATGGAAAAACCGCGGCACACCTAGTGCATACTCGCGGCACACTGGTGTGCCGCGGCACCCAGTTTGAAAACCACTGCTCTAATGGCTGGCTTGAAAAATTTCGGAAAAGAAATAATATTTCTTTTAAATCAGTTTGTGGTGAAGCAGCAAGTGTTGATGAAGAGGCCGTCAATAACTGGAAAGCAAAAATACCCGAAATTATAGCAAATTACGCAGAATGCGATATTTTTAATGCAGATGAAACGGGATTGTTTTATAGAGTTCTACCTGATAAAACCATGGCGTTTAAAAATGAGATATGTACCGGAGGAAAAATTTCAAAAGAACGTTTAACTGTACTTTTGTGTTCTAACATGTTGGGTGAGTTTGAACGGCCAGTCGTCATAGGCAAAGCTAAACGTCCACGAGCTTTCAAAAAATTGGATATTAACAACTTTCCCGTCGATTGGTATTGGAACAAAAAAGCCTGGATGACGACTGAAATAATGACTGAGTGGTTTATGAAATTTGATAACAGAATGGGTCAAAATAAAAGAAAAGTTTTACTCTTTTTAGACAACGCGGCTCCTCATCCACATTTGAAAATGAAAAATATTGAACTTGTGTTTTTTCCACCTAACATGACATCTCATTGTCAACCGCTTGACCAAGGAGTAATCCATCAGTTTAAGAAATTATATCGTACGCAGTTGTTACGTAAAGCTGTTGCCGATTTGGATGCCAATTCAAGTCAACCTATCAACGTGTTGGATGCAATTTACTGGGTGTCTTCATCTTCAAAAAACATTCAACCCGAAACAGTGAAGAAATGCTTTTTGCGGTCCGGCTTTAGGCACCGTAATAACAATGTTACAGACGTTGATGATCTACTTACACCAATAGAAGAACTTGGCAATCTTATTAAAGTGATTGACAATACAATTACGGAAAATGACTACATAACACTAGACGATTGCGTAGAGACTTACGACGCCGATATCGAAAATTCATCTGATACTACGAGCATGTCTACACAAAATGAAGAAGAAAGTGATGAAGAAAATGATGGGTCCGAAGATCAAGAAATTCCAAAAATAGGAAGTCTACGGGAGGCATTGCTAGCAGTAAAAGACATACGTAAATATATTTCTTCTATCGAGGTGCAGAATAGTTCATTGTTCTCAAACACAGTCCAATTAGAAAATGCCTTAACATACGAAATAACTACGCCTGCAAGTAGTAAACAAACTAAAGTAACAGATTTTTTTCAGAAATGTTAGTTTTTATTTTTTTAAGATGTATGTATTTAATTAATGTAAAAATAAAATAAAAATTTAGGTAACTGTTTTTTTTTCATAAATGTTAGTTTTATCGTGTATTCAATTAATGTAAAAATAATATAAAATAAAATTATTGAATTTATTTATTTGTTAAAAAAAATGTTTTCCTCTAAATAGCGGACAAAATTTCGGCGACCGAGAGTGTCCGCTATTCAGAGGTTTCACTGTATATATATTATATTAGTTTTATATTTTTTTGAATGTGCACTACTTCATTAAACACCCACGAGCCGCCACTGATTAGTTCGGAAATGATCAGACAGGTTTAGAATTGAAATTATCGCCTCGAAACTCATGTTTGACTCAACGGCCGAAGGCGGTTACAAATTCGAGTATTGAATATACAATAATTTTCAATTAATTTACAATTGTTTGCAATAAATTTCAAAAGTTTTTCACTAATTTGGGGGGTCCAACTTCATATACGCATACATCTTTCCGTGTGTTGCGGAGTTTGACAAGTTATTCCAGATTTTACCCTGGAGACATTTCAGCCTTTTATAAAATCACGGAGTTACCTCCTCTGGGTGAAAACCAGGGTGAGCTTCTGAGAGCCAGGCACCCTGAAAACCCGCCTGAGACGCCACCTCACATTGGGCGTCATAAAAAGCTGCAGTCGCGGACAGGACCCGACGGCTTCCCGCCCGAATCAAACGCTTCTACAAAAGTGTTACTCTCACAACCGCCACGAAGTCTTCCTCAAATGCGGCGGTTACGCTTCGGACGTGCACGGGTATTCGTTGAAGTTGATCACCCGCAGTCGCGTGCCGCTTGACCGTCGTCACCCGAAGCGTCAGGGTGCTATTAGCAAGCAGGCCTGACGGGGCTTACTTCAGGTACCGTGGTACGAGGTTTGAACCTGGCGTTTTGGCTCTCGCAACTGTCGTTTCAGCAAGCAAATCACCGGAACACCGCATACGTGTACCGCAGCGATTCCCTTTTATGTTAACAGATTGCCGTTCTGTTTAAGTGCCTCGTCCGTAATAAGCCTCGAGTCGGTTGTTACGCGCACGTGTTTCGCTCGAAGGGTGGTCTTGCCTTTATCGTTCGAGCTCTCAGTCTAGGCAATAAATAAGTCATAGGGAGAGAGCTTCGAATTAGCCCCGCGGAGTATCTCGTCCCTCTCCCGGCTAGGCAAGCCTAGTGCGGAGGACGTTCAGCGATCCTGTGGTCACCACCTTAGTACCTTTGAGTCCGGCTATCGGTTCCTGCTTCGCTTTTCACTATCAGGTACCGTGGTATTTCGCTCCGCAGCCGCAGTTTTCCGGGAGGTAGTCGTTACGGCTAGGCTCACTCGAACGATTTATGCTTATGTGGAAAGGAGAGACGGTCCGCATGTCTGGCAGTGCGCCGTACCTACGGTCTCCCTCAAGCCAAGCGCCTCACCGCAGTTTTATGATAAATTATGGGTCTGGGTTACGCCAAAGAGATATCCCTTCGTTTTTACGTTCTAAGGCCTCTCGGTAGAAGTTTTTGAACGCAAGGAACATGGCCTCCGTAGAGGTCATGGTCTCGAAATTACATGGCCAGACCATACCAACCGCTCGTGCGGCATTTGCGAGTCTTCTCTTTCCTGGCTATATACTGGACAGTGAAATAGCTCATGCATAGCAGTTTCCTCGGGGAGACCGCACGGGAAACCTGCCTTGTCTCGAAGGTTGAAACGGCGGAGCTACTAGTTAAGTCCCGTGTCCGGTCACGAGCTGCAAGACGAAGTGGTCTGGGACGAACCACATCCTCTAGATTCTGAGCCGGACGTCTTGAACCAAAACGCCATCCACCTACCCTTGTCATTGGCGACTCATCTTTCTTGCTAGGGAGGTATAATGGTATCGTGGTACTGTTACGCCTTTTCAGCAGCGTCTTACGCCGACATTTTAACTCTCCTAACGGTGCCCTTGTCTGTTTCAACATTAGCCAGCCGAAACTAGTTCTACATTTAAGGGAGAAGGTTTCCGTTAATGACCTAGAGCGCCAACTTCGATGTGGTCTTACGCGCCCGTTATTGCGCGTTATAGTAACGGCCGTCTTTGGGCGGTGTTTGCCTGTGTCCTTTACCGGTACTGCATCTTGAAACGCTCAGCCCATACACCAAACGCGGCAGAACACTGATTTGTAGAGGATCCTTGTTGTCTTCTCTTTAAGGCCCCAGCTTGCCTTAGCCACGGATTTTAATCGACTAAATAGCGCTACCGAGGACGCAGCTTTGTCTACTAGATGGTTACTAAGTTTTATCTCCGTATTAAACATGACCCCAAGGTATTTCGACTCGAGAGTCATTTTGATCTTATCCGCCCAAGACGCAAATCAAGGGACTTACTAAGCTGGACCTTCATTCATAGGATCTGCCACTTGGCCACCGAGAAGGTGAGTTTCCTGTCAGAGCGCCATCTTGACACTATTTCTAGCAGCGCGTTAACGCGTTTCGTCAATTCCGAACAGTCTTTCCCGGAGATGAGCAGCGCTATATCGTCCGCGTATGCAACGATTTCTGTCCCAGCGGAAAGATCGCCTGACAAGAGAGGGTTGACCGCGTATTTCCAGATGTCTGGTTCAAATTTTGAACTCTCTGGGAAACCCTTAGTCAGGGTTGTAGTGATTGTTAAGTCTCCAATCGTAAGATAGGCCTTCCGGGTGCCAATGTAGGTCTTTGTCAGAGTGATCAGACCAGAGCTGCATTTTATGCTTTGTATATCTTTAATCAATTGAGCCCCGTGTACGTGTATAGTGCTATAGTAATTGATGATGGGTAGATTTTCCAGTATTTGAACGTCACAAACCAAATTCTGAAGAAATAAGTTTTCATTAATTTTGTTAAATTATTATTAGAAAGTCAAACAGAAATTTAAAATTAAGCTATATGTAAAAAAAATAATAAATATGTAAAATGTACCTTTTAATACAGATTTATAAGCGGTTAGCAGTATTTACAGTTAAATAACATAAACTATACAAGCGACCTTAATTAATAATATAATAATATTATTCATTACATAGAACAACATCAAATAAACAAAAAATATTGTGTGCTTAAAAAAAAATATTTTTGTTTTTCAATAAAAAAATAAAAAAAAAAGACGTCTATAAATGACTATGTTTAATAAACTTTTTTGATAACTTAAAATATAATCATTAGATTAAATTATTTAAATATAACAGCTTTGTTTAAAAGTAAAAATTTATCAACAACTCTGTTTAAATCTCTTTTAGAGGCTTAGAATGCTTTTAATATCAATTACCAAAAGATTACTTCACCTGTTATCATTCATCACCCATGGTTAACTTTAAATCATTCTTAACACTTTTAAGAAATCAGGAAAATATCTCTTTGTAGCTGTTGTTACCAGCAAAGTAGTTGAGATTGAAATTATGTTTAATATTTTAAATAAAATATTATGCACTTTAATAAATATAAGTAAAATATTATAAAGGTCCATGTTTTCATTGATTTCTTTAAGACATAATGTTTCAGCACTTAAAAATTATGAGGATAAAAGAATA